CACAGCGAAGCCAACAGAACTTGATCGTTTTCTTTCTTTGTTTTGTTTCGACAGTTCTTAGCGAAATGTCCAGGTTGCTTACATACATGGCAACGAAGTTTTTTTGTTTTATGCTTGTTGTGGTTAATGCCGTACCTGAATACAAAGCTCTTTCTTCGTTGCTTTGTGCATCGAATTTAACATCCTGAAGTAAGAGCGATTTTATTGAATCAATAGTAAGCACCTTCTTTGAGTTTTCAACTGCTAATACTAGGGATTTAAATTCATTGGGTAACCCTGCCAACAACAACGATGCGATCAACTCGTCGTCTAGTTCGAGTCCTGCTGTTTTCACTTTTATGGACGTAAGCACCATAGTGTTAATGTATTCTTGCATTGATGGGAAGTCTGATAACTTTAGTTGAACAAGCTGTTTTAGCAGTTCAACTTTCCTAGTATGCTTCCATTACCCATTGGTTACTTCCATTTCCCCTACTTCTAATGTGTCATGCAAAACTGTTTTGCATGTTACCTTTGGCGAGTGCTCTGATCGCTTGCAACATGGTCAATATTGCTGACGTAACAAGAACGGTGTCTCAAGTGTTTCACGTGTGTCATAATTATTAAAAGTATGTCAAACGCGGTTTGGACATCGACTTGCTTTCTCGCGTCAGCAATATGCACATGCATTAGTTGGTCAGGCACACTACATCCTACCCCTTAAGAAAAATATAAATTAATTGAAATTTCTTAAAATGTAAATTGATTAATATTTAGGTATGTCTTAATCGTAGATTTGTGGTATGATTTCTTATATTGGTGTATCTATATGTATAAATGTCTGTGGACAGTTATTTTGGATAATGTATTCTTATTTTTATTTAGTTACTCCTATCCTTAACTAAGTTATTATTGTGTACAGTTATTTCCTTTTTGTTTTTTAAAATGGTGCTATTTGGTCCATCTTGTCTAATTATTTTGTATGCTCCCTCAAATGGTGGGTCTAATTTTTTTCTATTGCCTACTTTTAAGTAAACATAATCATTTATTGTGAAGTTTGCTTTATTCACTTTTGTTTGCTTATCTTTAGCTCTTAATTTGCTTTCATTCAAATTTCTAGCAGCATTGTCATGTGCATATCTAAAGCTCTTCGGCGATTTCAAGCATCCGTTGATGGTTACCCCAGCAACCGAGGCAATCGGAGATCGTCGTGTCACACGTACTTGTTGTCGGCTCGCGTTGATGGAAAATCAAAAATTTTTGATTTTCCATCAACGCGACCGCTTGACAAGCGGTCTGTTTGATAGTGGCGCAAAGCGTTGACAAGCATTAGTGTGTTAGTTTGTTGTGATATGTAAAATGAGCAAGTGCGCGGAAGATAAAGATTTTACGTTGCGGTTTATTGAAACTTATGCGTCCTTACCCGCTTTGTGGAATACTAAGTGCGAAGCATATTCCAACCGCGATGAAAAGTGTAAGCAATACGACATTCTGCTGGAAATATATAAGGAAAGATACCCCAATGCAACGGTAGACGACGTAAAAAAAAAAATCAACGTTTTGCGCACTAACTTTCGCCGAGAAAGGCAAAGATTGGCTGAATGCAGCAAAAGCGGAGCAGGCTGCGATGATTCGCTAGAGCCAAATTTATTTTATTATAACGATATGCAGTTCTTAAGCGATGTGGACATTCCATGCTCGTCCAAGAGTACCTTACAAGGCAAGGTAGGTAAACTTTAATTGCCGACGGCAATTCGTACTTGATATTTTTTTTGTTATATGTGATGCATAAGGAAACTTTTTCATTTGCCTGGTGTAAGTTGCTTTTTCTAGTTTCTTTTGTGACAGTAAGTGTAGAAATAGTGTTAGGGTTAGGGATACCGTCGGTTCAGTTAAAATTGGTCAAAAACGCAAACAAATAGATGTGCAAATACTTTATATTGTTTACATTTATTTGTTAATACAGTGTTGTGCAATACAATAACAATACAGTGTTGTGCAATACAATAACAATACAGTATGTATCAGCGAATGTATTTTTGCTGCCAGCAAACTGCACCCTCGTTGGAAAAATACTCCGCGAAAGCTCGACGAACTTCTTTGGCTTTATTGGATGAGTTTCTTATATGAGTGCTTTGCAATGGACTCAGATCCGTGTGATAATTTCGCCATGCTCCTTCGACCACATTTCCAGAGTTGATGTCCTCTTGGTCAACTAAATCGGAAAATGAATAAGTTTTTTTATGCCGTAAAAAATTGTGCAAATAGCAGCAAGCTAAAACAATTATTTCTGCCTTTTCTGGCGCCAATTGCATAGTTGTTTGTAAAACTCCAAATCGTGCTGCGAGTATTCCAAAGACATTCTCAACAACTCTTCGTGCCCTGCTCAACCTATAGTTAAAAATTCTTTCCTCATTTGTGAGGTTGGTGCCAGAAAATGGTTTCAACAAATTTTCCTGCATTTGGAAAGCATTGTCAGCAACAAAAACATATGGTAGTTCCACATCGCTCATTGGAATCTGTGAAGGGCTGGGAATTGGCAGAGACTTGCTATAAATAGCCCTCCCGAATTCTGTGTTCTTTATAACGCCCCCATCTGATATTCGTCCATTTGTAACGGGTGATTTTTTTGAGGTTAGGATTTTCATGCATTAGTATTTG